AAAAGGAAATAAAGAAAAAAAGAACTAGAGATATACCTGGTGGTAGAGTACTTGTGTAGCATAAAGAAAGAAAGAAAGAAATAAAGAAAAAAAGAACTAGAGATATACCTGGTGGTAGAGTACTTGTGTAGCATATGTGAGGCACTCTTCAATAATAAAATGATAATAACAATTTTGCTTTTCGTAATGTATATTCCTCAAAACACCATTTTAAAAATCAATTTTATTAAAAGTATTCCAAGTCAAACTGCTGGAATTTCGAATTTAAAAAGAACTCACAGTGGAGGTTCCTGGCCTATTGCATTCCTTTCCACTCAGACTCACATCATGTGAAGGGACCACGGAAGAACGGCTTGCATTCATTTATTCTCATCAAGAAGATAAAATTGGGGGGGGGCCAGGGAGATAGCTCAGTAGAATAAGTGCTTGCCTGGCAAGCACAGGGTCCTGAGTTCAATCCCTGGCACTGAAAAAAAAAAAAAAAAGATAAAATTTCTGCATAATCTTGGATTAAAATGTTTCTTTTGTTAATTAACTCATGACTTTGCTGGCACATAAACTATTCTATGAATGAATAAACTCTTCTAAGGACAAATGATTCCTTAATCATGTAAAATAATACAATAACAAACTTGTTTTAATCTCACAAAAATAGAGATTACCAAAAAACTCCCTGAAATAAGGTAAAATTGGTTTTTTAAACCAAGTATCATATTTAATAAAATGCTTACACTTGTGCAGTTATTTGTAAACCTAAATTGGATTAGAGCAGTTTATGATTTTTATTTAGTTCTTTCCTGGGGCACTCCATTAACTTCAATTAAAACAGCTTTCAGTGAAATACAGAATTCATGTCATATTTAAAACTGGCAAAATACAAAGGAAACTAGGGATTAGTGATTATAATAAAATTTGATTGATCAACTCTTTTCAGAAGCTCATATTATATAAAATAGTGAATCCATGTAAATGAAAGCTTTTCTAAAATGTTTTGATTTAACCTGACTATCAAATTACTATTTGAAAATAACACAATAATTTAGATAATTTAGGAGGAAGAGCCCTGATGCTGCAGTTCATCACTACCACCACCAGAATGTCTTATTTATAGTATATTAGACAGTTTGAGGCCTTGGAATACTTTTTGTTTGTTTTCTAGTGAAACATTTATTCCTATGCTATATTTATTTTGCTGTCTTATTTTCCATTGTGCATGCTTTGACATTTTTTCTCAGTATAGATTCTCAGTGTAAATTTTACATTATCTCCCTGGCCTTTCGGGAAAATTAAGTTAAACTGGTATTTAACTGATACATAGAAACATAGGAATCATACATATTCATGGAGTACTTGTGATGCTTCAGTACATTCAAATATTATATATTTAAATCCACAGAAACATATCTGTCTCCTCAAACAATTATGATTTCTTTATATTGAAAATATTTGAAATCTTTTCTTAGAAATGTTTGAGGTCTGTAGTTTATAGTTGTTATGTACAGTCACCCTAGTTTGCAATCATAGCACACCAGGGCTTCTTACTCCCATCTGGTTGTAATTTAGTGCCTCTTGGTCAGCCTTTCCCCAGCCCTCCTACACCACGAGGAACGATTCTCAAATTCCCTTGGTGTCAGGCCTCATGGGGCCAAGAGCTTCTTTCCTACCCTCATCGTCCCTTCTCTGACTAAGCTATGGTTGCTGCATGTCACAGCAGAAATGTTCAAACTATTTCATTGTTTTCTTTCCTCTGCCTTCATCTTATCACAGATATTACTGGGAGTTCCATGAAGGCCTTCTGCAGTTTGGGCTTGAATTTGAAGGGCTTCAATTCCATTTCATCCTATTTGAGAAAGCAAATCACTGATCATCTAGATTTGAAAATAGATTTTATCACTTGATGAGAAGAAGAACAAGGAATTTGTCACCTGCCCAGGGTTATATCCCTCATCAGCTAGTTTCCAGTCTATGGGCCTTTAGGTACAGGAACTGTAGATGAACAGGTGAAAATCTTCCCTCTCTATATAACAGTAACTCATTTTTATCCAAGAAGTTTAGCAGTCTTTATTCAAGCAATACTTGAAAAGAATCCTGAAGAATGAATTGATCAATCAGATAGAAGACTCAAAGATATGTGGGGAAACACTGTTTTAGGGAAAATGCTAAGCTTTGGAGGTAGTGACGGATTTTTGAATGACTTGGGGGCTGGATCTTGGGGTGAAGGGTAGGGAAATATGGTAGACAATGAGGCAGTAGGGGGTCTTCTGATACAGAAAGTTTTCAATTCAAACTAGAGGCTTGGTTACTCAATCACATCTAAGAACATGTTTTTAGTTTGCAAGAGGCAGTCAGGTAGCATTTCCATTAGGGAAGAGTATATTTCTTCTTTCCACAACAGGAAATCTGAACGCACACAAGTTCTATGAAGTGCAGGACACTGTCGTGTAGTGAAGACTATGGAGAGTTGGGGAACAGGAATTTCATTATCAGCACTAAGGCATGGCAGCAGCACGAAATGGAATTTGGAGAGAGCCCAGTGTTCTGCGCAGGTCGTGTCACTGCAGTCAGAGATATGATAGCCTGAGAGTTCAGGAAATACATCATAGGACAGCTTGCCGGATGACTCCATCCCAGGGCTTCCTGTCGCAGAAGCAGCACAGGAAGTGAGGCATCATGAAAACTACAGGTGGCAGAAAGCACCGTGGTGGGGAGGGCAGCCAGAGGAAAAAGGCAAAGTGGCAAGGACAGTCTGTCATGTTGCCACACTCGCTACAATTGGAAAGCAAAAGCAACTACTGGAGCTACGCTTGCCACTCGGTGTACTAAAAACAATGAGCTGAAGAATGCTGTTAGTGGAAATATTTTACTCCTTTGTCAAAGATGATTGCTGTGCAGGGTTCATGCTCACAATGCCGGCACTAAGGAGAACGAAGCAGGAAGACTGTGAGTTTGAGGCCAGCCCGGCAAACATAGCAAGTCTGAAACCACATTGGAACATAGAAGCAGACTGTCTCAAAAAACAACGGAAGATGATAAAACAGCGTAAGCAACCTGGAGTGTTACCGCCAATAATTTTAGTGTCATTCTGTTTGAATAGATGGAAGCACTGGCTGTGGGGATAACTCAGTGGCATAAGCACCTGCTTGGCAAGCTCAAGGTCCTGAGTTCGATTCCCAGTACCAAAAATAAAATAACATTAAATAAATAAATAGAAACATTATTAGTTTGCACTTGTCTATATCCATCCACGACTAGCTTCTATTTCTCTAATTCAAAATTTGTTTAATCACGTGGTCCATGGATTACAGTTTACATTGTGTTCTGCATCGTTCCTTGAATAACTCATTAAAAAGCAACGTAGATTGGGGTGTAGCTCCTGGGTAGACCATTTGCCTGGTTAAGGTTCAATCCCCAGCACACAACCTAAAATCAATTCGACTGTGCCTTTCCTTCGTTTCAGATAATCTTATAACTGCCTTCACGGTCTCCATGGCAATCGGGCTGGTCCTCGGAGGGTGCGTTTGGGCGCTGCTGGTCTGCCTGTCGCGAAGAAGAAGAGCCAGCGCGCCCATCTCGCAGTGGAGCTCCGGCCGCCGCTCGCGGGCCTCCCACGGCCACGGGCTCAGGACTGGCTTCTACCGCCACAGCGGCTGCGAGCGGCGCAGCAACCTCAGCCTGGCCAGCCTCACCTTCCAGCGCCAAGCCTCCATGGAGCTGGCCAACTCCTTCCCGAGAAAGTCAAGCTTCAGGGGCTCGACTTTCCACCCGTTTCTGCAATGTCCACCGCTCCACGTGGAAATGGACAGTCAGCTGGTGACCCTGCCGGCGCCCAGCTCCTCCGCCTCGGTGGGCACCGTGCATAGCCCGGCCCGGCCCGACCTCCACTGGGCCAGCCTGGCCCCGCCGCCCCCGCCGGCCTACGATTCCATCATCAAGGCTTTTCCAGACTCCTGAGCAAGCTGTGTGCTGTTTTCTGTTCTCCTCTTTCCGTGAAAGGAAACCCCGCACAGGCTAAGCAGCACTTGCGGGCGTGCCCCAAATAACTAAGGAGTGTTCGAGTTGAATATGCATATAGACTGAGCATTATAAGATGCACTTTTAAACATGTTTTTCATCATATGCCTCACAAAACATACTCTTTTTTGAAATTGTTGTGGATTTATGCCATTTGTCTTCAAGGTGAGGTTTATTAAAGATAATGATTCTAATCTAGAAATCAGCCACAAAATGAAAAGCATAGTTCTTAAAGTTCCTTGGCTCTGCTCATTTGTAAGTTTGAACCAAGAAAGTTTAACTCTGTTAGTTTGGTAGGATACTGTAACATTTTTGATTTTGGGTTTGCTTTTGTTTTCGGAGAGACACCTTTTGTTTTTTTCCCAAAAATAATTATGGACATCATTGAAGTAAAAATCTTGGGTTTTAACAGGAGAATTTAACTTTTCCCCACTATTATACTGACATAACTTCAAAAGCAGCATCACAGCCATTTCATTCGACCTGGACACAAACTTTGGTTTAACAAGAGCTCACAGTTCTCTTAAGAGGCCCATTTGCTTTGTTAGCCTTGGAGCTCACAGTAGGGCAAGTACTTTCCCTAGGGATCTTCTCATGTAACTTGGCACACGAATGCAAACGAGGACTGGGGCGACAGCCTAGACTGGACACCTGCGTTAAGCCATGAGGAAGTCTCATGGGGTGGGTTAGCTACCTGGCACCATCCCTTGTTTGCTAGCTCTGAATTTTGACCTCATCTTCTCTGCAAAGTCTGTGCAGTGATTAAATCATGCCATGTGATCACTGTGTAGCTCATTATTTAAGGAGCTCACAGGTGTGCACCGGATGTCAGGGGCTCAGTGGTTGCCTTTTGTATTAAGGGCAGGAGTTAACTGGAACATTATTCAAGAGTCCTGTGGTTCAGTTTTTGATATACTAAATATTTAGTGTGTGTTTGTTTGTATGCTTCTCGAAATGTTGGGATTTCCTGTGAAGAAAACGTGCTCTCACTTTAGTTTTTGCGATTCAGTGATTCCAGCTAATAGTGTCTAAACAGTACTGCAGAATATAAAAATTTTGATTGTGATGCAATATGTATATTATATGTATGTGCCATTTCCCCAGGATGGATGTATTTATTATGGAAACATATACTAATAAAATATAAAATTTTACATAAGAGATTCTATATAGCATTTTCATTATTAACATCATATATCTTATGTTATCCACTGTTCATCAAGACCAAATATTCTTCAAAATGTCCATTAAAAGCTCTCTAAGTTTTTTTTTTTTCTTAAAAAAAAAAAAAAAAAAAAAACTATCTATGTTAGTGAGAAATGTGGCTGAGAGTTAAATTTAAAAGAAAACTAAAAGAAAAGTTACCAGGACAACTGA